CCAAGCAAATGGCCAACTCTAGTCATTCGTTATAGTAATCGTATTGTTTTGCAGTATAACGGAGAATGGACTTTAGAAGCTGTTCAACGTTTCATTGATTTTATATTTATTCCAGTTGAGAGATTGAACTCAAGGCTTGAATTAAAACGTTTGACTATGCAAAGAGATGCCGTAGTCCTCGGTGTTTTCGGCAATGGATCACAATTGGAGTTTCGAAAATTTGTAAGTGCTGGAATAAAATGGCTGGAAACTGATCCAGTTTCGAGTTTTCGCTTTGCTGCCGCGATTGGTCCAGCAGCAAAAGATATTTTACATAGAGCGAACGATACCCAACAACGCTTGCCTCAACTGTTGCTCATTACAAGCAAAGGAGTAGTAGAAATGCCGCCTAGTGAGTGGAACGTGAGTAATATAGTTGTGTGGCTACAAACCGAGTTTGCACGTTCACTCAATGTATTGTACGGTTATAACTCGCCCAAAAGTTTGACTATGCTTTTACATTTATCACCAGTACTGACCGTTATTGCCAATGACTATTTCTACGAATATATGAATACATTAACAAACTATGGAATTTCTTTAGATGAGCAATGTCATACAGACATTTGGCAAAGTGAGATGGCTAAACTTCAAGAACTGGGATATGTCCAACATACAATGGAGAAAAGTGAACTTTTAAAGCCGTTAACTTGCTCCGCTAAAGAATACCTTAGTCAATGGAATTTGAGGTATTACTACGCTTTAGATAGCTATCTAAAACAGTTTATTTGTGGCTTGAGACGAAATTGTACCTTTGAAAAGGGTTTGGCGTCATCGAATAACATACATAAGCTATGTACGAGCAAACATCGAAACAGTTCGCCATCTAGGAAAATTGCAGCTGCGAAATATTTAAAAAAGTTCGTTGATGACAATTGGAATCAATTCAAATCGGGACATAACCAGACATTATCCGTTGTTATTGTGGATCACGGAAAACATTTGGACTTTTTAAAAAGTCAAGGAATTCCACATGTAGATAATAAAAATTTTGTAACATTAATGATAGCTGACCGTTTGAAAGAGAGTATTTTCCTCTTTCAAGATGAATTCACATACGAATCATTGCAACAGTTTGTTCAAAGTTATTACAGTAAAGTACTTGTTGCATACAAAACGGGAAGTTCCCTTAAAACAATACCTTCTTTGCCTCAGAGGAAACTTTTCTTGGAAAATGTAAATAATGAAATGTTTATAAGAAAAGTTGATCAACACAATTTTACCACAATTGCTTTGTTGTATTCTCCACAATGTATGTTCTCAGCACTCGCTATACAGGCTCTAATACAGCTTTCAACTATGCTTGACGACTTGTCTGGAATTCAAATTATTCGTATAAATACTTTAATTAATGATTTACCGTGGGAGTTTAAAATATATAATTCGCCTACCTTGATTGTGTTTCCTCGTGGCCGTGCACTCGACTCTCAAGTATTTCCGTCCCGTTTGAAATTTAATGTGCGTAATGTCTTTAGCTTTGCTCTGGCACAAATGGAAACTGTGGATCAACTAAAAGCATTAATCAGTTATTGTAGACGCCGCAGATGGCATTCGCTTCGAATGCGAAATTGTATACAGTTCGTAAAAAGACTGGCTGCCCAACATAAAATGATTAATATGGAACAGCAGATCACTGAAGATTATATCGTACCAAAACAAATGATGGAATGGAATCATTTAAAGTCGGAATTAAAATCAATTTTCCCTCTCTACTAAAAATATGTTTTTATGTGGGTTGGTTGGGTTGGATGAAATATTGAATACTTTGCTTATGCTCTATAAATAGCGTTTAGATTTATTTTAAATAACCTAATTATCTGCCAAATTGGGTTGGGGATTGTCGTCCCAATTGCCGTCGAAAAAAAAACAGCTCGCTACTTCTCTGTTGCGTATATGTGCTCACATTTTTCGTTGTTTTTCGCTTAAAAATATAAAAAGCATTAAATCATCGTATATACAACAATTTAGCTCAACAATTCATATGAAAATTCCACTCTAACTCAACTTCAAAGCCCAAAATCTCAAGAAATGTCGATGTTAGCGATTTATTGTTCCAAAATTTAATTTCCTACAAGTTTCATACTTTACATTTTTCTGAAGCTATTGATATTTACGAGATATGGGCAAAAAACTTTTTGATCCTGATAGAGATTTGGTTCAATTTATGATCCGCTGAGTTGATTCTCGGCTTGGTAGCACTGAAAAATGAATGTATACACAAGCAGATATTCTGCCATTTGTTGCTCTTAACTTGATTAGAATAAAACGCCCATGTTAAATATTTAAGAGAATATTATTTCGCTTAAATGTACTTCTCCGCCTTCCTCGTGCTAGTACATACATAGTATTGGTAAGCATTTTCTTTATAAATAGGTTCGTTCCTTATCTTTTTGGACTAAAAATTCAGAAAAGATCAAAATGCCAGAGTGTGAGCAAAATGCGCTCACTAAAAGAGAATAACAGGAAAAAGTAAAAGAACTCAAAACAAAACAAATTTTTAGTCCAAAGAATGGTCAAGGTCACTTCTCTTTTTTGTACAATCCAAAAACTGGAATGACGGTTCAATGTACTAGAGATGTCTGTNAAGGAACAATCATCCGGGAAGCGCCTGCTCAGAAAAATGTCAAATTTGAATAAATCTACTTCCGATAAACTACATATAATCGACAGAAAAACATTCGAGTGTATCCAAAACCAACAGAATACGGCTAACGTTGAACCGTTCCGCAAAATCCGTAATTCAAAATTTCGGAAAAAGAACCCGGCGGAAGGAGGACATGGTGCTTCTTTTAATTTGATGCAGTTTCTTACAAAAACACCCAAGCAAAAACAGAAGGCAAAAAAACTCAAACGCCACGCTGTCTGTAAATTTGGAAGACATACCGATAAGGCAAGGAAGAAAAGGGGTAAAACTAGGGAAGGGGGCAAACGGAAAAAGCTTTCTAGGCTAAAGAAAGCTATCTTCCGGTGCAGAAAACGGAAAAGTCAGAGGGAATCTAGTGTTGAACAAAGTGCTGAGTTACTAAAAGAAACTGCGGATAAAATTTCAACGCTGGCTATAGATTCAAAAGATGAAAAAAATAACACGAAACGTATCACTCCTAAGCATAATCAAGGGATTGTAAAAACATTGCACTCCAGGCGATTCCGCAGGTAGCACCCAGATGTAAACAAATGCACATAGTTATATTCGTTAAACTTTGATCTATTTAAGACTGAGTCTTACAGATTTGAGATTACTAATGCACAGGGCCGTCGAGAGGGAGCGGGTAAAGGGATAAATCCCCCCAGGCCCGGGCTTCTTAAGGGACCCGAAATAGAACCCTAACGTTTCCTAGGGCTGCCGTTAGTAGAACTTGACGACAACGGCTGAGATATCAACCGATCTGGGCGGGGTTGTTGTAGCCGCTACAACAACAACAACAACAGAACCATAACTTATTATTTTTTTACAGTGTAATTGCTCCTTCGTTGTAGGCTTTTGTTATAAATATATTTGATTCGTGCTGATTGCTCCTGACTATAAATTAAAGAAAACGATCATATGGCCCAAAACGCGTACTGTTACAATACGTTTTGGCACACAGTGCTTTTCAAATACCGCTAAAACTTGCTAGAATAAAACTTTCGGATAGTTTTTCTTCTTGCATTTGAAAGCATAAGTATGTGGCAATATTTAATATAGACCTAATCTACATTGTACCTCCTGTTGTTTAGGAGTTATAAATGTTTCTACAGCGGACTGTTACATTACAATTTTTGGAAGTACTTTTTAAAGCTGCTTTATATTATCGAAAAAGTCTGCTCTCCTTATATAACTCAAGAACTACGTACTTATTGAACTAATAATTATTAATTTTGAGGTCAATATTTCAAAAAAAAATAAAAATAGTCGGACTGTTACGTTACAGAAAAAGACTTACGTTACCTGTGCGATATACATACGTGTAGATTAGAATTAGGTTTTTAAATGGCTCGTAGTCTGTTTTATGCAATAAGTAGCAGAAGTTATGGTCATTGGAAGATGACGTAATGAGTTAGCAGCATATGCTTGGTTTGGCCATGTTAGATTCGAGCACACGAGTGGCCGCAACTCTTGCAGGAAAAATCTTATAGCACCATTCGAGAGTGCATTTTGAAGGATAATAGTACTAGAAAAATACTTGAAATAGTTCTAATAGATGTTTATTATTTAATCATAAAATATTATTCTTCGTTTACTCTCTTATTTTGCTTCTTTTGGCCTCGTTCTTTTTTTGGGCGAAAATGCTCGAAGAAAACCAGATTTTTCCATTTTTTAGCGTGGTGGATACCGCAGCAAAAGAACATTTTGATATTTTGGATTTTACCTTAAAAATGATGCCGACTTTACTTTCATTAAGAAAGTTAATCAGTAATTATTTTGTCGAATACTTTTTTATTAACTTCAAATATAAACAACCCTTAATTATATGTGGTTTATTTTTAATTTTCATTAATTTAAAGGTGTCTCAGGATTAAGTGAATTTTCGTGTTTGAGAGAAGGAGATTCGTGTTAATATTTATATTTTCTGATACCTCCGAATATGTTTGACCCAGATATAATCAAAAATCTGCGAAGCCTGCAAAAAAATGTTTCCCCTCGGTTTCGTTTTCGGTGATTTGGGTCATATACTTTTAATTTTATACACTTTATTATATATAGAGGCCCGTGATTTTTTAGTCCCGGGCCCCCGAGTTTTCTCTCGACGGCCCTGCTATTGCGAGATAGATTTTAAACGTACATCCGACCATATTTTATTAACGCTTTGTTTTTGTTTGTTTTCTTGCAGTTATTGCGATAATTGCACCACACCGCTGCTAGCTGAATTAACGGAGGAATTACTTCGAGAACTGGATCGCTTTCAAAAACGTGCCTTATCTCAAAATGCAATAAAAGCCCATGCNCTGCGAGGGCGAAGGTAGAAGCCAATGATTGACAAACTTAGGGCCCTATTATGTATGGCGACTGGGGTCTAGTAGCCATGGCAACCAGTATCGTAATTGGTATTATGTATAGCAGTTAATCTCAGTATACAGAAAAGCGCAGAAAACGTCGTTTTGCGGGAAACAGAAAATTCCGCTACTAGACTCAGTAGCCGACAGTCATACGTAATGCGATTTTTAGTATATCAGCCATCAGTCGCCATACACAATTCGGCCATTTAATGCTGCTATACTTAAAGTATTTTTTTCGATATTAAATTTGCAAATATAATGAGTATTTCCCTAAGTAAAAAACTGAAAAAATTTAAGATACCAAAGTATTAACAAAAAATATTTTTTAGTTGTTAAATGCTAAACTTAAGTAGGTATTTTGGGGTGGTAAATAACATACATTAATACTGATTTTTTTTTTGCTGTCGGGGCCTCCGGTATGCTTGGTTTTTACTTTTCGGTATATTTCACAAACATTTGTGATATTTTCAGGGACTTTAGATCAAAAACTATATTTCCATTTCATGGTAGGAAAATAAACTTTGTATCCAGTGAATCTATTAGTACTATGTATATATATTTGCAGGCGGTATTTCATTGGTGGCTATGTACCATTCCTCAGGGCAATAGCAGGATTCTCCTCCATCATGTTGACAAGGATTCCCATTTGGGTTTTATTTGGTGTTTTCGACCTTAAACAAAAAATGTATGTCTTTTTCTTCCATTTTATCAAAATACTCACACTTTTGCAGCAAACTCCCTTGAAAATTCCAGATGAAATAATTCTAATGGATTTCGAAGTTTCCGCACTTTCTTTATATTTAAAATACCTACTTTTGATGTTCGAAACTTTTCGAAGATGTTTAGGATGGACGTAAAGCGGAAAGTGAGATATTTCGCAAAAATCATTTATTTAAAATAGTAGGATTGCGGAAATATTATTTAGGATTGGGCTGATATTGTTGGCAAACGTCAGACCGCCTCTCAACGGTTTTACCTTGTTATTTTTTAATCATGCGCCAGACTATTATTATTATTTCGTTGCATTTAGCATGTACACAAATACTTCATCCACGGTCACTTTTATGGAAACAACTAAAAAAATTCTTTGTATTTAGAATTTTCTAAAGACGAAGCCCCAAATACAATACCTTAATTTACCAAATGCTAATAGAATCTATGACTTTTTGTTTTTCTGTACTTTCTCTTTTACAGACGGGCTAGACGCTAAAATTTCCAATATTAAAAGCCAATGTCAGCAGCAGAGCATTCCTTATCTATTTGCATTGCGTCGGCGGCAACTGGCATATGCCTTATTTAAAAAAGCTCCAATAAGTTGTGTTGCTATACTTGACTATGATGGAGCTCGTGAAGTATTTTCCAAATTGTTGGCAGCATTGGTAAAAGCTCGGCAATCTTATGAAGATCTCACGTGATGCAGGCTGGATTCAGCAATGCTACTACAACAATGTAACGTTGACAACTATCAGGAAAGATTCGAATAAATAATAACCAAATATCGTTATGCAAAGTTATTATAATTAAAATACACTACTTGTCAAAACGCGCCTAATATCAAAAAAAAAATACCAAAAAACTTCGATTGTTTCTTTTCCATTTTTTTTTTTTTAACACATGTAAATATATATCTGTACGTACCTTTGTATATGTCTGTTTAAATATGAATGAAAAATTCGATTATTTTATATTTCTCGGAATATTGAAATATATTTCAAATTAAAAATATGACCACGCGAAATTGTTATTCTTCGAATTAAACTTAAATACTTATCCCATTTCCTGCTATAAATTATTTATAGTTTCTTGATTACAACTTAAAGTCATAAAAAGTTCACAGAAATAATGAGCAAGTGAGAGTATAAACAAAAAAAATAGCTAAATAGACCATTCAGATTATTAGTTAGATCCTAAATGTTATGAAGGTATATTATCGAAAAGTTTTATAACAAAAAATAATAACAGGTTTTGTAATTCCGCGAAGCTCGGTAGGTGATTCAATTTCTTTTACGACGTTCTTCACGTTTACGTTCCTCCTGTAAATATTAAAAAACAAAAGCATTTGTATACATAATACACATGATTATAATTTTATAAATTAAAATTATTGTAATGTGTTTGAATACCATCGGGTTCCGCGTTAACCTTTCAATTGAGTAGCACGCCATTGGACTTGAATTTTTCCTTTAACAAGAAAGCCTCAGTAATAAACTTAGCGGTTCAGTTATTTATGAGAGAAAATGATGCTTAAGCTGAAAATTTTTTACTTTTAATAAATAGAATAACCATTTATATTCACAGACGCCTGTCACACCAAAAATACTAGATCGTGATATTTATTGAAGGTGCATCATGAAATATTGATGGATCGTGATACCGATCGCAAAATATTAGGAATTTTGAAATCCGGATCAGGGATTGCAATACTGTCAATAAATATTGAGCGTGTAGCATTTTCAAAACGCGATCCATACATTTCGTCAGTAAATCCTGTACTCTCATAATGCCAACATCGAAAACTTATGCATTCTGCTTTCGCACTTCCAAGACAAATTCAAAGTATTTAAATTAACAATGGAAATGTTAAATGATTTATGGAAGTCGTTATCTATAAATTATTCGTACAAAATAAAAATATTTTCTTGCGCCATATTAAGTGTTCAGCATAAAAATTATGCAAATACTGACGCGCTAAATATTGAACGTTTAGCACACAATCACGACCCATCAATATTTTGAGATCAATCAATATGGATCACGATGTTGTAGTTGTTTTAGCAGCATATAGATTCCTCAAGGAGTTTTTGGGGATTCATGCTGGAGTGACAGTCCTTGGCCAGATATAAATCTGAGTCGTTCCAGTTACGTAGACCCGACTGTTATGGGAATCCCTATTGATGGTGTAACAGGCGCCATAAGAACGAAATATTGCATCGTCAAAGTTCCGGAGAATCCACATATGGTATTTCTATTTGCTCAAAATTAAAATGCGCAAAATACTAATTCGGAACACTAAAATCGGAATGACTAAATAGTAGTACACACATACATATCGTTACCTTAATTCACAAAGGCCCTAACCAAAAAATTTAAAATTTTACAGGGCATGAATCACGTATGACGACAATCGTCCGAACGATATCGTATCGAAATTGTCTTGCTTCATGAAAACCAAAAATTGGTTGATCGTTTGTGCGATATCGTCAACTCGATTCTAGTTTTGCTTCAGNACAAAACCGACTTCAATTCTCATATAGAAATTTAAGATTATTGTTAATTTCTTCATGATCCGATGATCGCATTTAACCCAAATTAATATGGGACCACCTGAGGTAACATCTTTCCTTAAAAAAAAAAAAGAATTATAGAAATCGGTTAACGTGGTCCAAAGTTATGCGGTAACATACATAAAAAAAAATATTCCGATGAATTGATAACCTTTCTCCTTTTTGTGAAGTCGGTTAAAAACAGTTAAGCCTTTTACAAAAATCTGTTGTTTTTGATTCTAAGACTTTAAAGCATTTATTGAGTCGTATAAGTCCAGACTAGTCAGAATTAAGGGACACTCAAACAGACGCGGTATTGGAAGTGCGGTACAAGGCGGTACATAGTATAGTTATGTACCGCCTTGTACCGCACTTCCAATACCGCGGCTGTTTGAGTGTCCCTTTAGTCAGATTTTACTGGAAATCGATCCCGTAATCCAGTGGTGTCGGCAGGTCATAGCTCACACTTTCACTTATTGAATCGTTTGAATGTGTTAGTATGCCGACCACTGCCGTAATCAGTTCTCTGGCTATTGAGAGCACAAAAAAGAAAGTAAATGAGGTGCTCTCTCAGTCAGAAGTTGCCAGTTTTAGTCCGAGAATTTTTTGCTGGTGAATTCTGGTAAATGTATGAAGCGATCAGCTGTAGTATGTTTGACAACCAAAACAAACAAAAGAAAAATGTACTCTGCAAATAAATACATGTTTTAAAGTATTTAATTTATTGTGGTAGGTGGATTCTAATGAATTCGAATGTACATAGAATAAAACAAAAATTTACAACCAAAATTTGGAGGTTGTTGAAGTTGTCAGAAGTTACCATTTTTTGCTAAAAAGCGATCCCGTACTTTTCAGTGTTACTGTCTCGCTCTGATCGAACTTTTCTTTGTTGACAGTTTTACGAACAAATCGGTTTCGTCTTTAATTTTTATCAGAAATTTATCGAAACTAGCTCACAAATCAAAACTTCCATTTCTTCCGAGTACGATAATTAAAGTTTACATATGTGTATATCCCTAATTCAATACGGAAACTTGTAAATTTTTAGGAAGAAACTACATTTTGCCTCGAAGAAAACAAAAACAAAACAGAAACTGTCAAATCGAATTGGTAAAAAAATAAAAAATGGATCAAATGTATCACTAATCTATTTTTTTTTCAAGTATCAAAGTATTAAGTTAGAAAAAACTTAAAAAAAATGCTATATGATTTCATACCTTTGTTTTTAATTAGTGTCAATAACCAAAAAATCATGTCAAGCACATTCATACACATACATATGTATGTACATGAAGAAAAATATCTTAGATATAGTGAGAGAAACTTGAATACAAATATATGTATTTAAAACTATTAACTGTAGATCATTTACGTTGATTATCAAATTAAATATGACACATTTCACGCTAAACTAGTCGGAAATTATGTCAAAAAGATAAAACTACCTTCAGTAAAGTCTACTTCTCTCTTACATTGATTAATTTTAAAATTGCAGCCGCAGAGCTATGTATAAGGCAAGCAAAATAAATTAAAAATGAATACAGTCAGTTCATTACACATAGTACGTTTAAAGCATTTTTGTTTAAGCTTATTTGACCCCAAAACGTTTAATATTTTCGATCAAATTTCAAAAGCTGCCCTGCCTACATATGTATATATTTTCTCTTTGTAATGTACCGAAATTTTTACTTGGCGGAAATCTAAGTATCTCGCGAAATGAGCGAAAAAATAAAGTATGTTCCGAAAATATGCACAAACACGTATCACTTTTGAAGTAAATGGGCTAAAACGGCAACACTGAAAAGCAGGAGTGCACACAATTTTCAGTGTACACTTGAATTCAGCCCCCGCTACCACCTTATATTAATTCGACTTGCTCATAGTCAAATCCGATAAGCGTTTACGTTTGAGCAAAAACGAACACCCACGACTACAAACACATTCAACTAAACAATTTTTGAGAATCGCTTACCTTTTGTGTTAAAATAATTAGCAAACGTCTAAACATGCTCAAAACATCAAAGAACAAATCCAAAGCATGTTGTACCACATCACGATTGCCTGCACGACATTTCTCCACTATGTTTTGTGTATCAAAGACCACAAAAGCAGCCATTACAAATACACCTACATACAGTTGAGTCTGAATCAAAGGCAATATGAATTGTTGAATAAACTTGCATAAATACTCATGATGTTTCCGATAAAACTTACCTGCTGAACAAAGTACGACTGGAAAAACATATTGAAAAGACTTAATAAGGCCATGGTATTAATGACACTAATTAACAATCCGCCCAAATAAAGATATTTTCCACGTTCTGCCAATAATGCACCCAATGAGAGTGAGATAAAGGTCACCACGGTGCCTGTGAGCGCAGTTAATATTATCGACGGATTGATGCTAATGATATATTGCATTAGCGGACCCAGAGTCTGGCCGGAACAAAAGCCGAACGCCATTAACATGCTTAGACGAGTATAGTAATTTTTTCCATCGTCTCTATAAAAATGTAGACCCAACACAAGCCCCAAGGAAGCCAGTGCTGCCAATAGCCCGAGGTTTATAACGCCCCACAAGTGAAGCGCAGCTCCCACGGCTGTGCTGGCCGTTGCGGCTCCTAAAACCATATATACTTTAGCCAAATGGGTACGTACATAGGGCTCACTACGAATAAAGAGATATATATGATTATTGTTATATGTAGGGTGGTCAATTCACAAACAAGTTTAAGTATTTAGATTAGTGACCTGTTGTAAACACACATATGTATGTATGTATGTATGTGTACATGCATATGTGCCTCTTACGTGGTCCAATAGGGTCGAAACCAATAACTTGGTAGTTTATATACTGTAAAATATATGGATTTGTGCGTATGGAAGCATGCATCAGTTTTTCTAGCCATACAAATACGTTTTTTTTACAAGTTCAAAGGTTAAATCCCTGCGTATTTTCTTTATTAAATTCTTTGCCTTGGCCTGCATACATACTCACTAGAATTTTCACCACAGCGCAAAAATTACTCACTATTTGTCGCCAAATCCATTAATGAAGCCTTGAATCCTGTCTTGGAATGATGCATATGTTGCAGTCGATGTCGCCATTTCGTGGCCAAAAGTGGTGAAACGTTTTGCTAGACTTATATCGGGGATTCGTTATGGTCACCTCCGCGGAATTATTTCTCCTCTATTAGGACTTTAAATTTATTGTTTTGGTTTTGATTTTTTAATATTTGACAATAAATTCAAATTTTTTCCTTATGAATTCTCAAACTCAAAGTAATCGCAAAGTATTTTCCGTATAAGGACGACTCGTCGCTTCTAGACGTTTTCGATTTCTTGTCTTGTCATAATCTTCGAAGTTCCATTTATCATATTTGCTTTGCCATTTTCCAAGGATGCCACTGAAATAAAGTTGCCACCACGATGTTTCAAGAAATATGGTGATGGCTGCCGTAATATTAGGGCCCTTCATTAAAAATAATAAACTGGTGATAAGCTGGATAAAAGGATAAGTTTATCATTTTTATAAATGAATTGTCGAACTTTGTGGGGAAATCTATTTTACAAAAGTTTATCACTTTATCAAACGATGTTGATGGATAAATTCATAAATTTCATCGAAATTCCACCCTGATAGGTAAGGTTCGAACGATACTATCGATAATGAGTAAGCATCGATACTGAGGGTATAAAAATGAGTACTTTAATACTCGGTACCTTATTTAGTGATTTTACTCGATACTTTGCCAAGTACTCGTAGTATCGAACCTGATACAAAAAAGAAAGTAGTTTCATTGGGTGCGTTCATAAGTCGTAGCTGTTGGGTAACCGTTGGCTGTTTGTCTTAGAAACGCACAGTTGAGTAGTTACGCTCAGCCCAACAGTTGGCAACATTCCGCCATTTTTTCCAGCGGACAATTTTTACGCTACTTGAACTCAACGTGTTGGGCTTAGCCTAAACAACTGATCGAAAAGACTTACGCCGCTTATATTAAATTTAACGCCGCTTTGTTATGTGGCAGTTGCAAACAAATTTATTATATTTTATATTACTGACGTGATAAAGTAACTAAAATATTTAATAATAATACTACGTTCCTAAATATATGTTTTTAAGATGTTTGCTATATAATTTTACACTGTTTAATTCATTGTAACATTGAACGATTTTTTCAACACGGCGGCCGCTCAGCGTTGAATATAAAAAATTATATTTGTTGCATTTAAAAATTACATGTTTAATATCTTGAAATGAATTATGTTTGGTTTTTTACAAATTTCAATTTTTTAGTAATGTTTTCTATTATTTTCTCCAATCAGTCTTGCTAATAATTATATTGGTTACATTGGAAAGTTAGATCTTGAGTATCCTAATTTAATTACATTTGGTTTTTAAATTAAAATTTAATTTTATTGTTTTGTACTTTTTTGCAATCAGTCTTGTCGATCATTATAGTCGTTACATTAAAAAAAAAGAAATATCTTCAATATCGTAAGTTAATTACATTTGGGTTTTTAAACATGTAAATTTTTGGAATGTTTTCTACTATTTTCTCTTATCAGTCTTGTTAATCATTATATTTGTCAAATTTAAAATTTATATCATTAACGGCTTAACTTGAATTATATTTGCTTTAAAAATGTAAATTTTTGGCCATGTAGTTTCTGCTAGGTTTTGGGTTAAGAAACGCTTTCCAGCAGAAATTAGTGATAATTTGTGATAATTATCTGTTAAGAAACAACGCTATTATTGAATCATGAACAAGAACGTGATACTGTAATAATTCCTGCAACATTGCGGCTGTGATTGCAGCTCGAACATGCCCCATTTGTTTGCAGGGCATGATTCAATAATACAAGGTTCGATAAACTGACAGTTGTCTCT